TCTTCCTAACAAAGCTGCAACGTATCGCATTGAATATCTTTAATCTAGGAGAGTCGATGCTCGCACAGCCTCCTCCATTGAAAAATTTCTTTGGCGGTTAATTTTCCATTTCTTTGGCATTCCAAACATGCATGTGATAAAAAATATTACAATAAAAAGCTTGTTTCTCACAAGCACTTTGCTTTAATCGGCACTCTTTATGAAAAGTTTAACTCACTTTTAGTCTAAAACAAAGTTTATTCAGTCAGTGATCTAATTTAGATCAGTTCAAATTCTAGCATATGCAGACGACGTGGATATTATAACAAAAACCAGGGCGAGAACTGCGGAAATCGTAACCGAGCTAGTAGCAGCAGCAGAACGAATGGGGTTACATATAAATCAAAATAAAACCAAATTCATGGTGAGTAACACAAACACCAGCATATCAAACCAGCTAAAAGTAGAGCTGTGCGACGGGTCGCAAGTTTTTATAGTATACTAAAACCAAAACAATATCGAACATTCTCGATCAGTCAGTCACATTTATATTTATACATTTATTTAAACATACATCTTAAAAAATTCTATTAATTTTGAAATTTTTTATTCTCTCAATACCCATACATTTTTGGGTAGCGGGTAGACACTCTTTACGATCCCGGTAAAGACAGGTCTGCTTCAGGGATGCGCCCCTGCCCACGCGAGCTCGGCTTTTTTCTCCCAATCTTCCTCGGGAGAGAAGCGGATCCTAATCCCTAAATCCTACCCACCAACCCAGACCTACCCAAATCCTTCCCCTCCCTCCTCAACCCGCACTGGACCAGCGTGAGGAGATAACGGTCCAAACCTTCAAGTCAATGTACATGACAAAAAAGAAAAGGCCCCCAGTGCCCAGCACTTCCCAGAGTCTTGATCACGGCAGCGATCAAACAACTAACGGAAGGGGGGGTGCTAAGAATCCCTGGGTAAGACCCGGCTGCCACAAGATGACAATTTGGCTATGCTCCTACAATATTCGAACACTGACAGACGACAATAGATTCCCAGAAATAGAAAGTGAACTAAAGGATATAAAATGGGATATCCTTGGTATATGCGAGACCAGAAGAAAAAGTGATGAGTATATAATACTAAAAAATGGCACACATTTATTGCATAAAGGTGACGAATACACTGGAGTGGGATTCTTGGTAAAACAAAGCCTCACACAGTGTATCGAAGAATTCAAGCCCATCTCAGACAGAGTAGCATATCTCATCATCAGGATTAATAAAAGAACCACTCTGAAAGTGATCCAAGTGTACGCTCCGACCAAAAGCCACGACGATGAAGAAGTAGAAATATTTTATGATGAAATAAGAACAGCTATAGAAACAAATAAAGCAAATTACGAAATACTATTAGGAGATTTTAATGCTAAATTGGGCAAAAAAGAGGAAGATTATGAACATTTAATTGGTAACTATGGCTACGGGAAAAGAAACGATAGAGGAGAAATGCTTCTCAATTTCATGAATGAACATAACATGTACTCAATGAACTCCTTTTTCAATAAAAAACCAAGCAGAAAATGGACATGGATGAGTCCCGATAAAAAGACAAAGAATGAAATAGATTATATCTTAACGAAGAATAGAAACCTAGTAGAAGACGTATCAGTATTAAATCAGTTTGACCTAGGAAGCGATCATAGACTAATAAGAACAAAACTAGTAATTAACAAAAAACTAGAAAGAAAAAGAATACATGAAAAAAGATACAAATGGACATCTGAAGAAATCAAAAATAGTGAATTTAATAAAAAGATAGTGCATGCATTAAATCAAGTTAGCATGCAGCAGATAAACTCCAATGATATTGATGATTTGAATAACCTTATTACCGAAACAGTGAATAAAAGCCTTCTGCAACTGAAAAAAACCGAAAACAACATACAATGAATTAGACAAAGAAATATTACAACAAATAGAAAGAAGGAAGATCTTAAATAAATCTAACAAAAGGGGAACCGACGAATATAGAGAACTTAATAGGCAGATTAGAAAAGGAATCAGACAACAAAAAAGAAAAGAAAACGAAAAATTAATAACAACAACTATTGAAAAAAATAAGAGTATGAAATGTCTCAGACCGACACTAGGACGACGTCAGATGATATCATTAATAGGAAAAGACGAAAATGAAATCACAAGTAGAGAAAACATACTGACACGAATAGAAGAATTTTACACAGAACTTTACAGATCACATCAACAAGATGATGAGATGAGACCAGCACGGAAATTAATAAAAAATGTTGGATCAGAAATAATGCCAAAAGTAACAATTTCAGAGGTAACTACAGCATTGGAAAACATGAAGAGAAATAAAGCTGCAGGAGAAGATAGTATTACCACAGATATGATATTAGAAGGAGGTAAGGAACTAATTGCAATTGTAACTAAGCTTGTGGACAGTTGTTTACATCAGGGCAAAGTCCCTAAGAGCTGGAACAACTCTAAAGTAATCTTATTGCACAAGAAAGGTGATAGTCGAAAATTGGAAAACTACAGACCCATCAGCCTATTGTCACACCTGTTTAAAATACTCACCAAAGTCATAACTACTCGACTAACAAGGAAATTAGACGAATACCAACCATATGAACAGGCAGGTTTTAGAAAAGGCTATTCAACTTCCGATCACCTGTTAACCACAAAAATATTAATAGAAAAATGTAACGAATACAAGTTTCCAGTTTTCCTTGCATTTGTAGACTACGAAAAAGCTTTCGATACCATAGAACACACGGCCGTAATAAACGCAATGCAAAATTGTAGAATAGACAGCAGATATATTAACTTAATAAAAGAAACTATGAACCAAGCTACAGCTACATACTACCTAAATGAAAATGAACACACGAACCCTGTACCATTAAACAGGGGAGTCAAACAGGGAGATACTTTATCACCCAAACTGTTCACCTTAGTTTTGGAGGACGTTTTTAAAAACCTAAATTGGAAATATAAGGGAATAAACATCAATGGCCGCTACCTCAGTAATCTACGATTTGCAGATGACATAATCCTGATAGCTACTGACCTACAAGAAATGCAAACCATGCTTGTAGAACTTCATACCGAATCTTCTAAAATAGGACTGAAAATGAATTTAAACAAAACAAAAGTCATGCACTCCGAAGACACCGTGACAATAATAAACGATAAAGTTATAGAAAAAGTTGAAGAATATATATACTTGGGACAAAAAATAATCCTAAATAGGGAAATTCAGACTGAAGAAATAAAAAGAAGAAGAAAGTTAGCTTGGGCAGCATTCGGTAAACTGAACTATATACTCAGAAATCAACAAATTCAATTACATCTTAGATCTAAAGTTTTTGATGCATGCATTATTCCGATATTAACTTATGCGGCACAAACATGGACAATCACAAAAAAGAATATGAATATACTTAGAGTCACTCAACACGCGATGGAAAGAGCAATGCTAGGTATATCACTTAAGGACAAGAAAACAAACACATGGATAAGACAGAAAACCAAAGTCACCGATGTGGTGCAAAAAGCATTAAAGCTGAAATGGGAATACACTGGACATGTAGCTAGGAGCGATCTAAACAAATGGCACAGATCAATTTTAACCTGGAGACCATACCAACACAAAAGACCCAGAGGCAGACCTCCTATGAGATGGACAGATGATCTGAAAAGGACTGCCGGGAAAAATTGGCTACAAGTAGCGTACAATAAAAAACAATGGAAAGGAAGACTTGAAGAGGCTTATGTTCAGATGTGGACGTGAATGGCTAGACGAAGAAGAAGAAGAAGAAGAACACAAACACAAGAGCTGGAAATGTTGACGCAAATTTAATCATCAATGACCAAAATTTCGAAGCAGTCAAAGAGTTCATATATCTAGGAACATCGGTTAACCGCAACAATAACACATCTAGGAGGAAATAAAAAGGCAAATAATAATTGCAAACAGATGTTATCATGGTCTATCAAAGTACTTAGCAAACAAACGTCTATCTCAAAAAACTCGTATAAGGCTGTATAGAATACTGGTAGTCCCCGTTCTCACATATGGATCAGAGGCATGGACGCTAACGAAAACAGATGAATTCGCACTATCGATTTTTGAAAGAAAGGTGCTACGCAAGATATTCGGAGCGGTCTGTGAGAACGGACTATACAGGGTAGATATAACTTTGAACTGTAGAATATCTACAAGCATACGTTTGGTGGTAAAGATATTACCACTATAATTAAGCGAAACCGCCTGCAGTGGGCAGGACGTGGTCACTCGTGGGAATGAGAAGATGGGGTAGACCAAAGCTGAGGTGGTGGATAGGGTAACACAAGATGCGGAGAAGATCGGAGTCGGCAACTGGAAAATGCAAGCAAGAGACAGAGCAAAATGGCGTAGAAAACTTAAGAAGGTCGAGGCCCTCTAAGGGCTGTAGCACCAAGATGATGATAATGATTGTTAAAACAAGACTATTATTAGCTTACATAGCAACTGTTACTGTCAAAAAAGATCCATAGGCATCTTGTCGTACAGTAAGATAATGTGTCGATTATTGAGAAACATATAACTGGTGCGTTAATTTTGTCTAGGAGTTTACATATGAGTTCGCCATCTAACCTTAGGTGGAGAGTTATCTCTACTTTATAATATATAGTAGAAGTGTCTTGAAATATATTTTGCTCATTTTCTTTTTTTATATAAGTAAAATCTTTATTTTAATATTAAAAGGTAGACAGCTGAATGCTCCATAACTTTATAGTTTACACGTTTCTGTATCTTTTTAAATAAAAATTATAACGAAGTTCTAAATTTTGTATGCCATATCTCCTAGAATTACCCTACTTTAAACCAACTTAGCTTTTTATTGTATTTGGTATCTTTAATAATTTCCATTAAATGCATAATATAAATAAACATTATCATCAAATTATTGTCGATTGCATGTATGCACTAAATTAATTATTATAATATAAGAAACTTACCTCCTCCACAAGACTTTGAACAAGCAGTTAACCCAGTAATTTTCCAATGAAAATGTTTCCTTCTAAGTCTTGTTCTGCGTATTCCTGGTACTGGTAAAGAAGGCTTAGCCTCATCCCTTTGACTAAGTGAAGTATTTAAAGATATATCAGATTTCGTTTCAAGAACGATCGGTTCGATTATTGGTCGTTTCATCAGTGGTGGCGCTACATCGGCGGATAACGGTAAGGAATATCCATATTTGATTCCAGGGTTAGCTTGGTAATTAACAATCTAAAATAATTTTTACACATACTATTATTCTAGAACATACTATTTCAGGATTAAGTACAGAACAAAATAAAAATATCGAAGGCTTAAATATGTTACTCATTGATACATAAGTAAAAGTGGAAAGAGAAGTACCACTCCAGAGAAATTATAAATTCGATTGCAAGTGGGCAAACATTTGGCGCTTTAGAAAAATTTCTAACAGAACATTAACCATCTAAAAAATCACAAAAATTGTTTATGAATGTCGAATGAACACTTTAAAATTTTTCTTCAGCGAGTACCATCATATATTTAAAGACAAAATAGCCTAATGAGAGACGTTTTATCTGCGAAACTAAAGTTAAAATTAACTTTGAGGTATTTAGCATCTTGAGACTATTTTAACTTTGACATTTTCTAACTGAAACTCATTGATTGTCCAGAACGTTGATTCTTCTTCTTCTTAAAGTGTCCTCTCCTCAATGGAGGTTGGCTACTAAAATTTTAAACTCTTCTCTATCTTCAGCTGTTCAAAATTTAGCCCTGTCCATTGTCGGATGTTTCTGAGCCACGATAGTCTTTTCCTTCCTAGGCCTCTCTTTCCCTCGATTTTTCCTTTCACTATTAGTTGGGCATATTGGTACTTATTATTTCTCAGTATGTGGCCTAGGTATGATGTTTTTCTAACTTTTACTGTGTTAAAAAGTTCTCTTTTCTTGCCTATTCTATGCAGCACTTCTTCGTTTGAGGTATGCGATGTCCATGAAATTTTGAGTATTCTCTGGTAGATCCACATTTCAAAGGCCTCCAATTTATTTACGGTTGATGTTTTAAGGGTCCACGTTTCAACTGCATATAGAAGAGTCGACCAGACGTAGCATTTTGATAAACGTAGTCGAATTTCGAGTTTTATTCGAGAATCACAAAGCAGTTTTTTTATTTTTTCGAAAGATTTTCTGGCCTGTTCTATTCTCGATCCTATTTCTTGATCAAGATTTAGGCTGCTATCGATACAAGATCCCAGGTACTTAAATCTATTGACCTGTTCTAATATGTGCCCATTTATTGTGCAAGGTTGAGGTACGTTTTGGTTTTTTCGATGTGTGATTGACATCACTTTGGTTTTTTTAATGTTTATTTTCATACCAAATTGCTCACAGGTCGAGTTGGCCTTGTCGATGAGTCGTTGTAGACCTGAGTCGGAATCCGCAATTAACACTGTATCAACGGCGTATCCGATACTGTTGATATTTACGCCATTCACCTTGAATCCATCCTTGGAATCCTCCAATGCTTGAACGTTAATACATAATTAAAAATGGAAAGTAAAGTACCACTCCAGTTAAATTAAAAAATCGATTGCAAGTAGCCAGAAATTTGGCGCGTTAGAAAATCTTCTAGTAAAACAATAACCTAAGATCCAGAAAATTACAAAAATTGTTTATGGATGTCAAATGAACAGTTTAAAATGTTTCTTTAGCGGGTACCATCATACCTTTAAAAACAAAATAGCCCAATGAGAGACGTTATATCTGCGAAACTAAAGTTAAATTTAACCTTAAAGGTATTTAGCGCCTGGAGACTATTTTAGCTTTGACATTTTCTGACTGAAATCCATCAATTGCCCAGAACGTTGTTTACCATCGTAGCTATCTTAATTTTATTCACTGCCACCCTAACAAGCATGCTTTTATCAATACCATACCAATCTCGCAAGTTCTTCGAACTTGAAGTATTTCTTCTTCCTGGATGTGGAGTTTCTAATCTTTTCAACTTAAGAAACGTTTAAAATTGTTCTATAGCACCACATTTCGAAAGCTTCAAGCGATTTAGGTCATTTTTATTCACAGTTTAAGGCTCGACATCATAAAGTAAGACCGAGAATACGTAGCTGAGATGTACGCAAATCCGCAAAGCCAATTTTTGGTCTCTGTTACATAATACCTTAGATATCCTTCTAAAAGGGGCTCTGGTCTGCTCAATTCTGGATCTAACTTTACAGAGGCTCTCTGCGTTACAGTTTAACTGATATCCAAGGTTAACAATATGATTAACTTCCCAGCCGTACTTTTCTTTTAATATTAAGGGCCTGTGATTCCAAATCGTGTACTAAAACTGAGTGTGTGTTTGTGTGTGTGGAAAGATAATAGCACGGAATTAAGTCCATTTGCCACAGAAAGTTGTATACAGAACTTTTCCTATAATATAAATATAGAGTTGTGGGTTATCCTTTAAATTTCTATTTTTACTTCTTTAATATTCTAAATTTAATTCTATTAATTATCTATTATTATTTTAATTCTATTAATTATTATAATATAATATTAATATAATATTATTTTATTATTAATTAATATAATATTATTTTAATTCTATTATTTAATTCTATTCTAAATTCTATTATTTAATATTATTTCTATTTTTACTTCTTTAATGACAGAAAATATTTCATTTTAATGAGTTTACGAATTAAATCCTCAAATTTTTTTAAATGTTTTTTGCAACCGAAGAATATATGGTTTAAATAATGCACAGCTTAGCAAGGTGCGACGGAAATCGCCCATAATTTGTTTAAGTCGAAAAACAGTTGCCGAAAATAATTTTAAAGTGGAATAGTTGAATGTATATTGGGGTAGAGATGGTAGGGTTGGATGTATTTTAAAATAGTTAAGTATTAAAAAGTTAGAGAAGTAGCTGGTCTTTATCATAAGAAAACTCCACATACTATAACCGATTCGTCGGGAAAACTGATAATAGACGAACATGAAATTCGAACAACCTGGTGTAATTATATAAGTGAACTGTATAATGATGATAGACCCAAAGAACCGGAAACTTTAGTTGAAGGTGAAGGACCAGAAATACTAAAATCAGAAATACTGCATGCTATAAAGTTAGCATAGAACAAGAAAGCCGTTGGCCCTTATAACATACGACAGAGATGTTAAAGCTTATAAATGAGGAGAACATTGGAATACTGGTCAAACTTTTCAATGATGTTTATTCGACTGGTGATATCCCTGAAGATTGGTTAAAATCCGAATTCATAACACTACCAAAAAAACAACGTCCGAAAAACTGTAGCGATTATATATATTTGGCTTTAGAAATGGACTGGGTACTCGGGACGCCCTCTTTGCACTAAATGTATTACTGCAGAAATGTCGAGATCAAAGGAAAGACGTCTTAGCTGTATTTATTGACTATGAAAAGGCCTTTGATCGAGTACAGCATCACAAATTAATTACAATATTAAAAGATAAAGGAGTTGATAGTCAAGACATACGATTCATAGAAAAGTTATACTGGCGTCAAACAGCGACAGCTTGCATAAACGGAAAATCAAAAGAAATATGTAAAATACAAAGAGCTGTCAGACAGGGTTGTATACTATCCGCACTGTTATTTAATTTATATTCAGATAGAATATTTAAAGAATCGCTGCATAATTTGGAATGGGGCGTGAAAGTTAATGGAATTCTGATAAATACAATCAGATATACAGACGATACAGTTATTTTAAGTGATGACATGAATGGACTACAATGCCTTTTAAATGCCATTGATACAGTGGAAAGAGAGTTTGGTCTAAACATAAACTGTTCAAAAACAAAACACATGGTGTTTAGCCGTTTAGCACATCAAGATGCACGATTAAATGTTGATGGTCATATAATTCAAAGAGTATCCAGTTTTAAATATCTTGGTTGCCATATTACTGAATAACTAAATCCAGAAAAAGAGATAAAATGTAGAATCGAGATAGCCCGCACGACATTTTTAAAAATGAGGTCATTCTTCTGTAATGATAACTTGCAACTTCAACTTCAAAAGCGCATGGTTAAATGCTACATTTGGTCAGTCCTCTTATACGGTGTCGAAGCATGGACATTAAAAATATCCACCATTAATCATCTGGAGGCCTTTCAAATGTGGCTGCACAGACGTATACTAAAAATTCCATGGACGGCTATGCTGACAAATGTGGCAGTCCTTGAGAGAGCAAATGCTGCTTGCGAGCTGCTTGATAACATCAAATGTAGAAAGATGGCCTATTTTGGACACGTAGTAAGGGGAGACCGATATAATATTCTTCAACTTATTATGATGGGTAAAATCGAAGGACGTAGAGGAATTGGTAGAAAGCAGGCCTCTTGGTTAAAGAATATCAGGGAGTGGACAGGAATAAAGAAAGCTGAGTAACTATTTAGAATAGCTCGAGACAGAGACAGTTTCGCCATCTTAATCGCCAATGTCAAGGGGACTTGATAGGGCACGTTAAGAAGAAAAAGTATTTTGTGAGTGTTTTACAACGTTTTCCCACTGTCGTTCTCTTTTGAGATTATATTTTATTTTTATTCAAATCAAAGACATCTGGTATTGTACAAATATTACAATGAACTCCGTTTTGTACTGCCTCTTTGGCCAAACTATCAACCTTTTTCATTACCTAGTATACCTATGTGACCTTTGACCCATACAAATGTTATACTTAAATCTGCTTCAATTTTTTTAAATTGCATAATATAGGACATTTCATTCTTTCAAATTTTATGCTTTTTATTGACTCCAAGGCTGACTTAGAATCAGTTAGTATTACCCCCTTTCGTAAATTATTTGATATTAACCAAGTAATGCCCTTTAAAATTGCTAGAAGTTCAGCAGTATATATGCTACATATTGATGGGAATTTAAAAATAAATGATTGTTTTGTATTTTGAATAAAAACTTCACAACCAACTCCGTGTTTTGTTTTGGATTCATCTGTATAAATAAATATCTTATTGACTAATGCACCCAATATAGATTTTAAAAGAGTATGGTTTATATGATCATATTCTGTATAATTGGGTACTATAACTCTGTGGTTTTATTATTGATCTAAAGGGTACAGTATACATAAGCAATTTTTTATTTTTTCTAAAAGAAATGTGATCAGTATCAGTCTCAACAAAAGCTTCTGCAAGTGGAAGAGAAGTTTTTATTTTCCAATAGCGGTTTGTTAAGTCTTCTTTTGCAATATCACCTAATTTGTTGATCATGTTTGACTCAAGAGCTTTTAGTTTTAAAAGATATTTTTGTGATAAAAGCTGTCGACGTAAGTCCAAAGGTTACATTCACCAGTATTACTTTCACCGGTGATGATACCATCCCACCGATGCAAGTGGTAAGACATTTATATTGAAGTCCGTTACATTTATATTGTGTACTAAAACTAATGTTTAATTCCAATACAAATTTGCAATTATGCGAACGTTTCTGCCATCCAAGCCAACATCTCTTAGAACTTCGATTAATATAGAGTCCACGATCAAAGGCCTTTTGGAAGTCAACAAAACAGCAGTACATGTCTATAGATATATCACGACATTTTTAAGCAAGTATGTTCATCCCAAACAATGCCTCTCTCGTTAAAAACCCGTTACTGATGATTCTCAATTAACATTATTGTTGAAATAATTTGGTACGCATCTATTTTTGAATCCACGTCTTTGTAACGATCAGTATGAACATCTTAAAATTGCTTAACCATAAAAGAAAGAAGGTTTAAACGTACAAGCTTAATTTAAAATGATGACAAAATAGTCCATAAAAACTTGGAAGATTCTATCTTTACTGGTACAATGCATGCACTGTTTTGACTTGCTCGACACTACTCGCCAATAACTGAAGCATTTAATGGAGCATTGGTTGAGAGAGCAACATGACTACGGTGTTAAATCAGACTATCCAAATAGCAAGAGTTTAGTGCAAACGCGTCATGACTTTCGACGGCATTATAACGTACCGGAGATCCAATCTGTCCTATCAGAAAACGTGATTAAAAATTGAGTAAAAAATCTCGAGCAAACTGGATCCACGACGTATAAAAAAGAAAGTGGTAGTGCCAAAACAGTTCGAACCCCTAGTAATATCGAACGTGTTCTACAGCGATCTTAAGAAATCCACGCTAATTGACTATCCATCACGTCACACGCCTTCAAATCAGTGACACATCTTTAATAACAATTACTCATTAAGATCTTTGATATTATCCATACAACATGAAGTTGTTCAAGCTATTAATCCGGGCAATTTTCAACAAATTATTAGATTTTGTATGATTACGCTTGCCAAACTGGATAAAAATGACGACCAAGTTAAGTTTTAGATGAGTGATGAGATACCTTTACATCTCTTCAGTTTTGTTAGTAAGCAAGATTTCATTTACTGGATAGGGGAAAACCCTTATTTCAACACGAAAAATCTCTTCATGCTCAGAAAATAAGAGTATGGTGAGCGATTCCGCAAGTGGAATTATCGGTCCATATTTTTTTAAAGATGAGGTTCAAAATTGCTTTGATGCGTAATGCGTGATTGCGTAAAATGCACCAATTCAACGAAACCATGTCTTGCCCATGTAGAATCGCCTACAAACAAAACACACACTAAAAGGAAAAATGGATTTTGTTGATCACTGGATTTTGGTAACTAAAACTTTATAGATAAACGAAATCCATTCTAATACACCAGCAAAGTCACACTCTAAAACAAACTCGGGCCGAAGTTTGTCTGGTTCCGAAACATTCCATTTTTTGTATCGATACACCGTCCATAAGCTGACCGTATCTAACCTTTTCCTATGTGTTTGAAGCCAAATCTGGCTTTAAGCCATACTGGAATGAGCTCGGGTAGTCAACTCGCTCGAACTATTTGTTTTTTCGCGGAGATTTAATTAGGCAATGATAAATAATGTATGTAGATAATGTATTGATATTAAAAAAAAGCATACTAAAAACAAAAGTATTTTTAGTGATCAATATATTTAATGATCAATATATTTTCAAAGCCAGTGCTATAGCTCCGCGGCCCTTTAGAACTAGCCGCCGCTGGAAGCACAGGTATCAGCATTAGTAAAGCAGCAATAGTTGAAAGGTAAACTTTTAAGAGATGCAGACTGCAGGGACACTACAAAACTTGACTTATTTGACAACTATAGCACGCGGATTGAGGGAAAAAAATAATAACTTGCAACTATTCGAGATTTTCATAAAGAATTGCCTCATCCACTGTAATTTCAGTGAGTTTGTTACTATTGACAATGTGTATTTCTTCAAAAGACGCTACGATATTGTCTAGTATATCCATACTAAACCTAAAAAATATGAAATAAAGTTCTTACAAACTTACCAATACACCTAGTATAAAATTGGTGTCACTAATAGAAAAGAAAGAGAAATATTTCGACTGAGAAATTATTACTAGATGTACACAATCAAATAATTTTTTTGAGAAAAATAAAAATAATTGTAGAATAATAAAAGTTGAAGTTAATTTCTAATTTCCTCCTAATTTTCAGCAGATTTAAAATAACTTTTGTATGGATTCATCCATTTCTAAAATATCAATATTTTTATCATTATCAAACATAGGAAATAAAAGATTACAGTCAATATTGTTTCCTTCGATGATTAAAATTGTAATAACATAGTGCCGTAAATAAAAATATAAAAGGAACCTTGTAATTTAACATTCTGAATAGCTACATACTCTCACATTAGGTATATAAAATAGACATGCCCTACACTATATTACATCCGTCTCTCAAAATACAATTACACATAACAAACAGTCATTTACTCTTACCATTATGTCGACTGCATTTACTAAAGGTCCTGGCGACGTCACGGTTTCCAGAGAATTTTCGTCCTGGCGAAGGTAAACAAACTTTGTTCCTGCTCCTTGAAACACTCGACTGTTGCTCAATTTCCAGTCGCCATTAACAATGTATGAGCCGTTGCTGTTTTTCAGAGCTGAAAAGATTAAAAATACTTTTGTCTCAAAAGCTTAATCATATTGAATGTAAATGAAGTAATTATGTAAAGAGTTCTTAAAATCCTCATCATTGTTTTATGTGACTTGAAGTTTTAAGTGAAAAAAATAATGAAAAATTATTGATTATTTCCATGGCTAAGAGGACAAATATTGTATGTCTATTTTTGTTATAAGTGAGATACGTACAGGTCTATGCCGGTCAACATGAAATCTTTTTTGTGTTCAAATATGGTAAGTATGTTCTCATAGAATGGTTTATTAATTAATAAAGTAGTATTAAAGACATGTCCATTAAATCACTATAAGCTTTGTGCACAAATTTTGCATGTCCAATACAACATTTGCGCCACTCACAAATTCAAAACGAAATTACTCTTTTATTGTATGTCCAGAGAAACAATTTGTCTACAATATTGGAAGCTCGTCAGCCTATAGTACGTGTTGCACGCGTCTGCGCAAAGGTAGCAATTAAGCGTGAGAGTGATTTAAATAGTAATTTGTGCTCATAGCAATTTGTCTTGTCATTCTGTTTCAGTAATCAGTCTAGTGTTGTATATCGACTTAGGCTGTTACATACGTAATTGTTAAACCGGCGTGTAGTGTCGAAATATAAAAATAAAATGAACAATCTAGGAAAGCGAACAGTTCGTATGACAAGAAATAAAGGCAAGAAAATAGTGACGAATGTTAAAAATATAGCATGAATTTTGTTACAGATCTTAAAGATGAGAATCAAGACGACGTCTGTTTAGATACATTGGTAGAACGTTCCCATAAAAGACCAATATCAGAGTATAATGTCGACGAGCCATTTGCCACAGTGCCAGGCCTTTCCATAAAATACGATTATCAGAATGTTGTGTCGACAAGCCATTTTCCGACTCTGAAAGTGACTACCTCACTTGGCTATCGTCATATTGACAAGCTGATGAAATGATTCTCGGTCGGCAGCTAAATGAAACAGTTCCTCGACCGTTCGACCTGTCCATTGTCTAATGTTACGCAGCCAGGACAGTTGTTTTCTTCCTGTAGTGACTGCAGTCACTGTAATCACTGCAGTGACTATTGCACCAAAAATAATGTACCATCTGTTAAGTACAATATGTTTAGATCAGTATTTATTAGTTATGATCCACCTTTGTCATTTTATAAACCGAAAAAAGATCAATGTGTTACATGTAACGTTAATAATATTGCTATAGATAAAACAGAATTACAAAGTCAGTGGGAGGCACATAAAGCAAAAGAAAAAAGTGGAATGGAAATAAAAGTAGCTGATAAACAGAAAGCCGTTGACAATAAAGGTAAAACATTTCGAGCAATTACATTAGACTTACAATCAATACTAAATATGCCTTATGCTGGTCATGGCCAAATATTCTACAGACGTAAACTTATCGTCTACAATTTCACAATTTTGACGCTTCCAATGTAGACGGTTATTCATATTTATGGCACGAGATACAAGGCAAAAAAGGATCAGTTGAAATTGGAAGTTGTCTGCTGAAATCTAGATATAGATCTAAAATATTTGGAACCAGGACATACATACTTAGAAGTGGATTTAACCATCTGACTTATTCCAATTTTTATAATTGTAAGGAGTTAGCTTCTAAGATTATGGTAAATAGTACCTGTGACACCAACGGAAATCAAGTGAAATGGCTGCAAATTAAATGATTACGTTTCCCAACGAAAAATCCGACAACTGTTCTGTTTAAGTATGATGTTACAAGTAAGGACTTTTTAAAATTAAACGTAAGCGACATAAGCACACGCAGAACGGGAACACACAACCGGTGTAAAAGTGTCCATGATGTACAAGTTTTAATGGTGTTTGACATTATGCGTTTTTTCGTTAATAAAAATTTCATTTGTACTACTAGTATTATTTTTAACCCGATATTTTCACAATTGCAGTATGGAAATAATGATATTTATTTATTTAAAGATGTACGGTTTGTCAAGGTGGTCAAAGAATTCAAATACCTAGGAGCAACAATTACCAGTAAAAACACAGGAGAACGGGAGGAATAATTCATTCTTTGCCATTCAACATCTAATGAGGTCAAAGCTTTTCTCAAGGCGTGCCAAAATCCAAATGTACAAAACCATAATACGACCAGCAGTGACATATGGAAGTGAAACATGGACATTGAGAAAGAAAGAAATCAATAAGCTATTAGTATGGGAACGCAAAATCCTGCAAATTATATATGGTCCTTGCAGGGACAACGTGATAAATGAATGGAGGAGCAGATACAACAATGAAATAGAGACTCTCTTCGGGAAAGGAAACATCGTCAGATACATAAAAGCCAATAGATTAAGATGGACAGGCCACGTGGTACGGAGTGATGACGACAGACTGATTAGCAATGTGTTTTGGGGAAGACCAGATGGTAAAAGATCGACAGGAAGGCTTAGAAAAAGGCGAAAAGACGCAGTCAGGGAAGACCTGGAGAAGATGGAAGCAAGGCCATGGGAAATAATAGCACAGGATCGGAATCAATGGAAGGCAATAGTAAACGCGGCAAAAACTTACGAAGAGTTGTAAAAGCCAATGATGATGATGCTGGTTTGTCAAGGTTAACACAAACTTTCAAATTGATATTGATGAAAACATCAATTTTGGACATACGATATTTGTCCTTTTAGACATCGATTTATTATTGATAATATTATATAAAAAATAAAAACAAGAAATAAAAAATAATAATAGATAATATTTAATTGTTCTGAGTAGGACTTTAAAACAAACATAGTGGTCGCTTACCATAAGCAAGAATTCATAAAAGATGAATGATTACATTATTTTAAATTGATAATATAAAAGAATAAAAAATGTCAAATATATTTACGTATAGCAGTTATGATGAAAAAACAAAAAAAAGACAGATAAACCTAGAAAAGTTTAAAACAATTAAAAGTCGTAGATTATACCAGAAAGAAGTAAATGTTTTGTTTATAAAAATGCCTTACCGATAAAATTTCTGGTGTGCTTCAGTTGTTGAATTAAAATTCTGCACGCTCCTACAGGAAGCTGGGCAACCAATGAGTATCCTGGTGGCAAATCTGGTCTCGTATAAATTCCGTTGACACTACGACATGATCCTTTGGAACAAGCTGCACATTCTTCTTGTTGCTCATCTAAACTACCTATTACTCCACGAGAGTTCACAACCTGTAATAAAGAGTTTGTGTTAATAACAAATAGAATGGTTATAAGTGTATACATATTATATACGATCTCAGAACATTGATTGTCAACGAATAAGTAGATCATTTATCTGACCTTATGTCCTAACGCTCTTAATAAAGACCTTAACAAATAATTTTTATTGCTCTGTTTGATATGGAAACGAAGATTACAGCAGCTATTCTGTAACCTTCTTATGGTATCATGTTTCAAAGGATGTCGTTTAAGGTTGCTGTTATGAGCAATCGTCTTACTTACTGGCCAATTATTCAGGCGAATCAGCTGGGAAAGAAAAATCTAAAAGAAGATCTTTGGGGTTATGTTTGATGAACAGATGGCAGAAAAATATAGTATATTAACTAACAAAGAGCTCGAAGAACTATAACCAGACGCTAACATAATAAAAGAAATAAAGTTCAGAAGACTCCTGTGGACAGGACACCAAAGAAGACATTCTGAGGAAAGAATAGTAATGATGGTCTGGGAAGAGGCTATAACTAAAAGACCATGTGGAGGACCTCCAGTCCGCTGGGGAGAAAACACTGCACGTTAAAGCTATTGGTGTGAAGAATTCAATGGAGCTTGCCCAAGACAGAGACGAATAAAGGCATGTTGTTAAGTCAGCTAAAACCCAGAAAGGGTTGTAACGCTACAAAGAACGTAACCAGACGTTAAAAAAAATGGTATTTTTTTTATATATATAAGTGGGAAGACGAAGAATATCCTGGCTTAAGAACTTAAGGGAATGGTTTGAATGCCGTAGTGCAGAACTTTTTAGAGCGGCAGTCAACAGAGCCATGATGATTTCCAACCTTCGATAGAAGATGAAACTTAAAGAAGAAGACAAATTCAATGAAATTTCCTTTTTGAATGTACTTCCCCATCTTCATACAATTCATTTGGATTTTCAAGTCCATAAAAAAATCTAATTTTCTAAAGTAATCCGATTTGAATGACCTTGTTAGAGATATAGGGTTATCGAAATCTAAGGCTTAAGTATTTAAATCAATATTAAAACAGTGGAATTTTTTAGACAATAATACGAGAATCTCATACTTTCGTACAAGACAAGACAATTTTACGATTTACGTTTCCAACGAAGATGATTTGGTGTATTTTAAAGAAGCTGCGCAGCTTTTTAAGAACTGAATTTCCCAGAAGAGTATGGAGAATGGAGACTTGTTATTGATGCTTTTAAGATAAGTTTGAAAGCCATCTTACTTCACAGTGGTAATGAAGACTCTTTAGGGCCCCTTGCGCATGCAACACACATGAAACACAATTATACAAATGCGGAGGTAATACAATAATGTAATAACCATATAAGCAGAATGGGTGAGGCACGTGTCGTTAAAGTAGCAAGAGATAAGTCACAAAATCGACAGAAAAGTATCGGATGATCGCGCAAAATATTCTTCTTCTTCTTCTTTTTCTGATATAGACCAGAATGCCTCCAGAGTGCCTCCAGAATGTTGTCATTCCATTGTTTTCGTGGTCTTCCTACTGATCCTTTTCCTATTAGAGAACAGTCTCTTGCCTATTTACTACTCTATTTGTTGTCATTCGGCTTATATAATCGTTCCATTCTACTCTTCTATTTCTTACCCAGTTTTTGATGTTCTCCACCTTGCATCTATGTCGTATATCTATACTTTTAGCTCTGTCCCATAGTGTCTTACCATTAGATGTTTCTAACATCCTCTTTGTCCTCTCTGTGACAGGGCTTGTTTCTGCCGCGTATATCATTATTAGTCTGATGACTGTTTTGTAAATTTTGCCTTTCGTTTTCTTTCCCGATATTTTTATTTCTCCATATTGTTTCATTTACGCAGCTTGCGGCTCTGTTTGCTCTATTCACTTAATCTTCCACTTCGGTTTCAAGCTTTCCGTAGCTAGATAATGTGATGCCTAGATATTTAAAATTCATCACTTGTTCTATTATCTGACCTTCCAGCTACAATTTACATCTTAGAAAATTTGCTGTTGTAACCATGCATTTTGTCTTTTTTGGAGAAACTGACCTGTTAAATTTTCTGGCGGTTATATTAAATTGGTGCAACCTACGTTGTAGATCATCTTCACTTCAAGAGAGAGTAGTATTGCGTCGTATGCATAGCAGATTATTTTAAGTGGTTTTTCTCCCATTTGGCATCCTTTTTAGTTCTTATTTTATTTTATTGTTTCATCCATAATCAGGTTGAACAATAGAGGACTCTGGGAATCTCCCTGTCTTATCCCATTGTCAGCTTAGAAAGGCGCAAAAGATAAATGATGGTATTAACTAAGAATTGCTTAGAAAGGGTAAGAAAACAGAAAAAAGAAGAAGTAAAAAACGTCAAGAGAAGACATTCTAGAAAAAGTATAAGGCTAAAATTGAGATTTGCACTGCTAAAATCACGGTTGAGCGGACTAAGATATTATTGAAATGGAGACCAAGTGAAAATAAGAGAAGCCAAGAAAGACAGACGACAATGCTGAAAATAGAGCACAACTAAATGTAACATGCGCAAACTAGAATTTCCTTATGACTTACGTCCAGTAGTGGACGCGACAAGTTGGGTGATGATAATGATTATATATTTTAGTTACACAGATATGATTTATCATGGTTTTTTAGGCTAATATCATCATATTGTACTCATTGTTTTTTTCTTCAAATCTTTAACTTGTTTCATAATTTCATTCTTAAATAATTTGACAGTTATAGTCGTTTAAGGAGTATGGCAGACATTTAATAAGAAATTTATTTTTAATGTTGTAAACAGCTTTTTTAAGTCCTCTAAATTCTCTTAATTTGCCTTCTGACAACTTCCAAAGCTGAGTCGAGGTCGACATTGTTGAAACCAAGACGTAAATCATAGTTTCTCCACCTAGTAAATACGTCTTCGTTGCTTACTTAGGTCATAGGTGATCATTTGTCTTGCTATATTTAAAAGAAACAATTTTAATCTTTTAAACCATTGATTGGTATGCACGGTATTTTTACTATATTCTTTTAATTAATGTTTTTAAATGCAAAGGAAGCTCGTAAGTTAAGAACAATTTATCTCTGCCAAAGCATCATATCGAAATGCAGTAAAAACAATACGTTAAAAGGTTAGTAATTCTTGTAAAACGTATAGTTGTAAATGGCACGTGTCGATAATATAAATTTCTTTATCTTACACGATATAAGATTTATGGCATGCAACCATCACATATAATTTAGGGTTTGGCAAATCTAATTGACCTTACACAAATTTTATGTCTTTTGTATTGTCCACAATTTATCTTGTTTAAGTAGATAATTATTTAGGGAAAATAAATAGTCAGTTAAATAAAAAAAGAAGTGGTACGGTAGGTGGTACTGTAGAAGAGCGCGAACTACAAAATATGTTTTCTCTATTTATGTAATTATACAGTGTGTCCGTAAAGTATGGAATAAACTATACCCTGGCCGCTTAAAACATCGAATCCAAGATCGCATGATCTCTAAATGCAAGCATCGACAGTCGGTCAAAACTAGATCTCATGAGAAACTGTTTACACCGTCATTATATTATTTATCTATGGTCATTATTAATTTGTGTTTCACTTTCGCTGGTGAATTTTGTTGGCAGTGTTAAAAATTGTTTGTAGAGTTCACGCGTACGTATATTAATTTGTATTTGTATTTTTTGTATTCTTGTGAATAAAGATATTCTATTCTATTCAAACGAATCTTATTCCATTAAATTTATAAAACGAATTTATCTCTTAATTTTATTTAAAGTTTACTTTTGACATATCTATACACGCAAAGTAACATACAAGGAGACGAAGGTCCAGAAATAACGGAAGAGGAAGTAATGTACGCACTAAAAAGAATGAAAAATGGTAAAGCCCTAGGTCCAAATGAAATACCAACGGAAATCCTTAAACTAATAGAAAAAGACTATTCACATTTTAGTTGAACTTTTCAATAGCATTTATACATCAGGAAAAATACCACAAGAATGGCTTTTATCCACCTTGGCTATTATACCAAAAAAGATAAATGCCAAACAATGTAGTGATTACCGTACAATCAGTCTGATGAGCCATGTCCTAAAAATATTCCTGAAAATTATACACTCTAGAGTACACAGCAAAATGGAAATGGACATCAATAATACCCAGTTTGGATTCCGAAGTGGACTCGGAACAAGAGAGGCGTTGTTTGCACTGAACGTTATGTCTCAAAGATGTCTTGACATAAATCAAGATGTATTCATTGTTTCATAGATTACGACAAGGCCTTTGATAAAGTGCGGCATGATCACTTAATCAGACTCCTGACAGAAAAGAATTTAGATAAACGAGACATCAGACTAATAGCAAATATGTACTATAATCAGAAAGCAGTAGTGAGAGTAGAGAATAATACCACTGAAGAAATTGAAATAAAGCGAGGTGTGAGACAAGGGTGTATACTGTCACCAACCCTGTTTAATCTCTATTCCGAAGACGTAATGAATATAACACTCTCTGAGCAATCCGTAGGTATTAAAATAAATGGTGTTAGATTAAACAATCTGAGATTTGCCGACGAAATCGTTCTGATCGCAGAAACACTTGAAGAGCTACAGACATTGGTGAATAAGATAGCAGACTGCAGCAAAGAATATGGACTATCTTTGAACATAAAAAAACTAACTTTATGGTAATATCGAAATCAACACAAAATGTCCAAAATTTATATTTACACAATGAAATTATCGATCGAGTTAGCAAATACAAATATTTAGGCACTTTTATAAATGAAGACAACGATAGCTCAGCAGAAATCAAAATAAGAATAGAAAAAGCCAGATCCACGTTCACTAAAATAAAGAGAGTGTTCTGCGGAAGAGATTTGAGCCTTGAAATGAAACTTCGCCTGATGAGATGTTACGTACTTTCTGTGCTGTTCTACGGAATGGAGTCATGGACGTTGAAATAGAATGATACCAAAAAATTAGAGGCATTTGAACTGTGAGTATCGCAGAATCCTGAGAATATCATGGACGAGAGAGTCACAAATGTCGAGGTCTTGAGAAGAATGAATAAAGAAAAGGAAGTCATATTTACGATCAAAAAACGAAAACTGCAATACTTGGGACACATTACAAGAGGCGAAAGATATGAAATGCTTCGAATAATTATGAAAAGGGAAAATAGCAGGAAAAAGGTCCATAGGAAGAAGACGAAACTCCTGGCTAAAGAATCTACCGGAATGGTATAGCTGTAGCAACAACGAATTGTTTCGGTCAGCAGTTTCGAAAATACGTATAGCCCTGATGATCGCCAACCTTCGGAACGAAGATGGCACTTGAAGAAGAAGAAGATACACGCAAAAGCCAATAAACTGTATTACACATTAACTTAAATGTAAATCAATAACCTGTGAAAAACGGTATAAATATATTATAGCGAGAGTATTAGTTCGTTTTTGTTGAGCGGTGTAAACGTGGGAAAAGTGATAACATAGGGAGAATATTTAAGAGTGCGTGCCATTCACGTGATCATTCCATCTTTTCAGCGTCTCAACTATAGATATTTCCTAAATGAAATTTAAAAAAAAAATCTAAAACAAGTCGATTTTTAAGTTTAATATTCTACATTGTACAACAAAATTTCGTTAAAAAAGGTAGTATATTAAGGTCATGACGTCATCAGCTCTTTTTTTTTAATATAACACAGTATATTTTATGACATTTTTAGATCGATAAAAATGAGATGATTCCAAAAAAGTATAATACTCGAGGTCTAATGGATATACTTTGGAAGATATGCGCTTAGAAAATAAATTATTTATGATCAATTACAAAAAAGTACCCTACTACTAGATTTTAGTGAAATGTTATTAGTTTTAGTAACGTTCAATAACAATTAAGTTGTACAATAATTGTATTAATTCGTGAATCTTCTGCATTATTGCTTAGAATTAATTTGAAGTAAAAATGAATTTGAGTGTAAAGCAAAGAATTGAACTACTCGTGATGATTGGGTATGGAGACAGATCGCGAACTCAGATAACGCATAATGCACATAACGCAATCAACAAGTAAGATTGAAAAGAAATTTCGAGAAACTGGTACGGTTGAAAACGCACGCAAATCAGGTCGTCCCTCTGTAAATTATGATACAACATCAGATGTTCTACTTGCTTTTGAAGAAGATGCGCACACTTCTGTTCGTAAGGTTAGTCGTGATCTCGATGTTTGCAAAACAACGGTACAGAAAGTAGTACAACTTAAAAAATGGCACCCCTGAAGATGCACACTTGTACAGGCATTAAACTAGGATGATCCAGAAAAAAGAATACAATTTTGCGAAACATTGATGGATAACTACCACCTCTTGGTTCAAAATATTATTTTTTCTGATGAGGCTGCATTCACATTAAATGGCGAGCACAACCGTCAGAATTTTAGATACTCGGCAAAAGAAAACCCCACCTGGATTTGGGAACATCACATAATACCCGCAAAAGGTAAACGTATGGGCTGGCATTGTAAGAAATAGAATCATCGAACCCTACTTTTTCGAAGGTAATTTAAACTGGCCTGCATACCTTCAGTTTTTAATTTATTCCCCAGTATAATTAATCCTGGAGGTTTTGATGAAAGTTTATGATTTTAACAAGATGATGTGCCTCCGCATTATGTTGTGAATGTTAGAAGGTACCTAACAAAAATTTTCCGAACAGGATGTATTGGAAGACGTGGAAATATTGAATGGCCAGCGAGGTCGCCAGACCTGAATCCTTTAGATTAATTTATGTGGGGTTATTTGAAGAATGTTATTTATAAAACGAAACCTGCAAATATTGACGACTTAAAAACAAGGCTAAACAGTATTTCTCAAGAAACCATAAACAAGGTTCTACAAGAATTTGTACAACGTTTTGTTAGTGCCAAGTACAACAAGGGCTACAATTCAAATATTTAAGATAAAGTCATATATTAATTACTGGATTACTTTCAAGTTATTTATTATAATTTATTTATAATTTATTAGTATGAGAAATCAATAAAAATTTATTTTCTAAGCGCATATTTTTCAAATTATATCCGTTAGATCCTCAGTATTATAATTTTTTGGAATCAGCTCATTTTAAGTGCATGTAAGTGCATGTTTAAATGAAAATATTATAGTTTAGTAACCAATGAGGGAAGCAATTGATTTTAAAAAGAAAGTGATTGTAGTAGTAACTAGTAGGAAAATCCACGTGCTAATGTTTTCACATTAATGTGTTGATGCACACTGTTCCATATTTTTTATTTTTTAAAGAAATTAATATATTAAAACAAAATAAGCTACAGTTTTGTTAAATTTGTCTCCTAATTGGTATTTTAAGAGTTATTTTAAAACCATTATAACAGTTTAATCAAAAGAAAGCTTTAACGCATCGCAACGGTAATGTTATTGTTTTAAGTAAACATACTGAAATAACTTCTCTTGTTACAGATTCCGATATTGAATATGAACCTGTGTTGTTGAATCAAAACATAGAAATTCTTATGGAAATTCAAGAACCGGACGAAACTGAATTAAGAAAGGGAAGAAAGAAAATGAAACAAGGAGAGAAATACACTAGTATAAAAGGGAAAGTTATGGCCGCTAAAACGTTTCTTTTTCCATTAAATGTAATTGTCGTCTAAAATGTTGTAATAGAGTGGCACAGAATATCAAGAGAGAAGTACATGACATATTTTACAATCTACAGGATTGAAACGCTCAAACTAGCTGGTTTTGTGGTACAGTTAGAACTAAAGCACCTAAACGCCCCCAAAAAACAACAAAATACGCCCAGAATCTGTGAGTCGTAAAAAATATTCACGGTTATTTCAATTAAATGGTCAGAATGTGTGTAATTTTTTTTAAGTATAACAAATAAGTAATCATCGATTAGATTATGCACTAAGAGTAAAAAAAGCCGAAAATAGTGATATCCTTTCACCCGATCGAAGAGGAAGAAAAGTTCCTGGAAATAAAATAAACGAGGAGAAATTGAAGTGAATTC